TATTTAGTAGCTAATATTTTCTAATAATTTCTTATTTCCTTTCTTTAAACTGTTCTCTTTAAAGAGACCCAGGAAATGTCTCTCAGTTTTTTTTTTAATTTTATTTTTTATTTCTAAGCTTTACTGTGTTACAATAATACTTGCTATTTTGTATAATGACAAATTTAATTTTATATTTTTAAACATGAAAGAATGAATTGTAATTTTGTATTAGATATTCAACAAACACGTGTTATCTTACAAGAAATATCTCCAACTTACACATAACAATAAAGGTATCTTGAGAGCATCTAGTGTGTAAGTAACACATCATAATGGCAAATTAAAGTTTATAAAACTCATTATTTTATGTGCTAAATTTATATTTGATCCATTATGTCAATACCAGCTTTACTGTCAAAATGCATTTATAATAAGTGATCTTGATGAATTTACATAAAGATTTTTCAGAGTTGATTGTACTTTGATACCAATAACCTCTTACATTCTATACGGTATGTACAGTAGCCTTATAAACTAATTTTCCTTTAAGTTTTCTGTGATATTGTGAACAATTCACATAATTGTATTTTGTGACCTAGCCAAATCTATCCTATTATTTAATAATGTATGTTTTTAATATTTAAATTATTACTATTCTCGTTTAATTTCTAAAAGTCTTTGTTTCTACTTTTGTTGTTGGTACAATTCCCAGCATAATCCAATGGCTATGACAATTTTGTTTTATTCTGGTTATTTTAACCAAGATTTGATAAATTTATACAGAATATTTCTAATTTTTTGACTGGTTCTACATACTTTCAATTAATTCAGGTATTTAAAATTGATCAGTAAAGTAGACTTTCTATAAACCTACCTAAAATAAATTTAGTCTTGGAATATGGCATCCATTCCTTGGGATAATCCGTTTCTCATCTTGTGTGCTGGGTCCAAATCATTTTCTTCTAACAATCAGAATAAAGCAAAGGTAGTGAGATGTTTTTTCTGAGACTAGGTTATAAATATTGTGTACTTCATTATGATTATTCTCTCTCTCATTCTTACCTGTTCTTCTGATGAAGCTAACTGCCATTGATTAGCTATCACTTGCATAAATACATATGGCAAATAATTGAGACCAGCCAGCTTCAGGTTGACCGTTAGTGATGAACTAAGACTTTCCAAATATATGCATAATGTATTTGTTAGAATTGGTCATTTCTAACAGTTCTTATCTTCAGTGCATTTATTGAGTCATTTTCAAACTTCAATAATCTAGCTGAACATGTTGAATGCTTCCTTGAATAAGCATCATGTTTTTGAAGATGTAAATCAAAGTAATTCATCATGTATAAATAATTTTATGTGGATTGCAAGCTATTTTCATATTAACATTTGATAAAGAAACTCCATATTACACCATACATGACATAATTTTATTTTTTAATTAAAGCACAATAAATAATTAAATTGTTTTAAAAACATTAAATGCTTAAAATTCAAAAATAGAACTAATTCAAATTATATAATTTAATTTAGTTCCTTGAAATTAAATAAAAAATATTTTTAAATAGGTTGAATTGCTCTAATAAGTCAAACAGTTATACATCAACTTTGAAATACAAGGATTACTTGATAAATAATAAGATTCTTTAACCTATCTTACTAAACTATCAATTTTCTTCTGGAAATATAAATTTCAATTTTATTCATTGAAAATGGCTCACTAACATGAGGAATTATCTTATCCTCAGTTAGGTTTGTTTCATGCCATTAAGCACTTTTGTTGATTTCGTGTGACATTTAATTCCTCACATGCTCTAACAGCTCAGTAATTCACATAAAAAGTGTAACTGTGACATTCAAGGAGTGTAATTTGCCATGATTCATGTGAACAAATATTGTTATGTCACTAAAAATATAGAAATATGGCCAAGACAGTATAGCTGATGACTACTTTTATTTTCTGTCTCCTCACAACTGCCTACAATAAGAATTACTATCAACATTCACAGATGTAATTCTTAGTGAATATTATTGTGTGAAGTTCAATAACTAGTAACAGTAAAAAAGGATAAAAATACACCAGACATAAATATTGCAAAACACTGCTTAATAAATTATATGGAGGATTTGTTACATGATCAAATTTATAAGAAAAACTATAGAAAACTATTATATAGTTAGCATCGATTCATGTTAAAAACACTGTATGCCACATTTTATTACTATATGTAATTGCCTTATTGTGAGAATATTCTTTGCTAAAATTCATACACAAAGATGTATTATTTTATATCTGCAGCCTCAATGCTCTTTTATGAAAAAAAAATATTCCCACACTCATAGAAATACACAAACTCATTTAATGACAACACAATATGTATATTCCCAATTTTTCCATGGATCAAAATCTTTTGGACTACTTTATGCCAGTGTCTATCAAAGGGATCTGAATTTGGACATCTTCATTTAGCAAATCAAACAATTATTGCACTGAGGCAAACTATAATGTATATAAAGTCTGAATCAATATAAAATAATGAAGGGTGACACTAAGAAAATATCCCAAATAAATATTATTTGAATAAAAATATAAATGTGGTCAAAGTAGTTATCTACTGCAGAAAATCCTATTCATAAAGATTCACAGTGGGGAAAAACATTTCAAGATTTAGCCCAGAATAGGAGAAGAGGATGTTGTTTTCTTTTAGTTGATGCTCTTTTAAAACATATTACAAATATTGTTAATCATATAATTATTCACTTTGTTTTATTATTTCTTTTTCATTATCTTAAAAAAGGCATAAAAACACTGACAGCTTTCCAATTCAGAATTTTTTATAGACTGTGCTAATATGTTAATTTTCATATTTTTGTAAGTGGTTAAAAACTCACTATGGAATAAACAATAGAATAGTATAAAAGAAAAATAATTTCCATGGCATATGGTAAAAGTTCTTAAAATTACATAACAACTTAATATTCAGTATGAAGTGTTTGGAGAAGAAAAAAAAAACAGAAAGAGAAAATGTGAATAGAAATAAACAATGGGAGAAACAGGGTAATTTTCACTTGTTATTTGGATATGTAATTTCTGTTTCTGATTGACAGATTCTGGATAAAATCATTCCTGGTTATTTAAAGTTCTTTCTGGCTCTGCCCACCATTGCAATGACTTAGAGATCCATAGAGCTGCCATTTCTCTGAGTGATGATAAGAGTGAAATAAGCGATGTTATTTGTGTCATGAAGTTGAAAAATGAAATTCAGGAAAAACAATTTAACCAAACTGAAACAAGAAAATTTTTTTAAATTAAATATACGTATAAATAAATTTGTCAGAATTTCAGTAACATTGGACATATGTTCAAATTAATATACAAGGCTATATTTTTTATAAATGTTCAAACTCCCAAATATATCTGTACACAAAAAAATAAGTAAAAGTTCAAGTGGAATTTTTTAATAACTTTATTTTATTTTATTGATAAAAAGATTGCAGAATGCCTTACAATTCTTATTATACATATATACCACAATTTTTCATATCTCTGTTTGTATATAAAGTATGTTGACACTCAATTCAAGTCTTCATACATGTAGTTTGGATAATGATGTCTACCACATTCCACCATCCTTGCCTCCTACCCCTCTTCCCTATCTAGAATTCATCTATTCCTCTCATGCTCCCCCTCCCTACCCCAGTCAGCCTCTTTATATCAGAGAAAACATTTGGCATTTGGTTTTGGGGGATTGGCTAACTTCATTTAGCATCAACTTCTCCAATGCCATACATTTACCTACAAATGCCACGATTTTATTCATTTTTTATTGCTGAGCAAATGGGATGGAATCAAAGTAAAAAGTTTCTTCTCAGCAAAATAAACAATCTGTGAGTTGAACAGAGAGCCTACATCCTGTGAGCAAATTTTTACCCCTCACGCGTCAGATAGAGCACTAATCTCTAGAGTATATAAAGAACTCAAAAAGCTAAGCACCAAAATAAATAAATAAATAAATAAATAACCCAATCAACAAATGGGCCAAGGACCTGAACAAGACACTTCTCAGAGATGATATACAAGCAATCAACAAATATATGCAAAAATGCTCAGCATCTCTAGCAACTAGAGAAATTGAAATCAAAACTACTCTAAGATATCATCTCACTACAGTCAGACTGGCAGCTATTATGAAGACAAACAACAATAAGTGTTGTGGAGGATGCAGGGGAAAAGGTACACTCATACATTGCTGGTGGGACTGCAAATTGGTGCAGTCAATATGGAAAGCAGTATGGAGATTCTTTGGAAATCTGGGATTGGAACCACCATTTGACCCAGTTACCCCTCTCCTTGAACTACAGACAAAGTACAACTTTAATGCTGATAATGCATTTTTAATTATCAGTGAATTGTATAGTAAATGGAAGCTGGAAAACAATAAATTTTGTGAGACTCTCCATTAAATATTAAAGAAACAAGGCTATAATTTTAATTTAAGACTTTAATTCAAATGAAGATAATAAACATTCATTTGACCATTTTTAAAATAATCATATTACTTTTCATGTAAATTAAATACATATCCAACCTGAAAATATTTCAACAAAAAAATCAATAAGGCAAAATTATATTGAATGTTATCCTGCAACAAAAGAGTTTATCACTTCAAAAGCATCTACTAATTTACATTGATTTACAATCATTTCACTCACTATTAACTCTTTCAGATGGTTTATATATTGTGAAATATTTTAATTTTGCTCCAGGTCAAATAGTGTCATATAAAATATAAACATGGAAATTGATTTTAAAAATCACTTCAAAACTGAAACTATTTAAAGAATATTTTATTTAACATGTAAAAACATTTCCAATGTATGGAGTCATATGACTTCTGAAGAAATAAGAGGGTACTATCTTAAGAATTGTCATGTTTATTAAGCTGCTAAAGTGGCTAAGTATTTCATATATGTTGCTCCTTCCTTTTTTTTTAACTTTCAGATCGCCAGGAAGAATTAGATAGGAGCAATCAGGGTGCTACAGTCCTGATTATGCAGGGAAGCTAATCACATATCATGTGAACTCCAATTATCATGTTTTATCTGCCCTCCAAAAGGAGGAACAGGAAAGGATTATCCCACCTGATGTTTGTTCGATCCTTTCTTTATAAAAAAAAATCTCAAAGTTAGCTTTGAGGTAGGAAAACAAAATGACTTATAAATGATTTTGTTAGGACAACAAAAAACCATTACAAAATACTTATTAAAGATAGCTATGGTATACAACAGAATATCTGTATTATTATTACAAATACACATTATTTTGATTCATTTTACAGACCATTGAATGGATGCCCAGGCAAAAAAAAAAAAAAGCTTTTTAGTTTTTACTCCTAATTATTAACTATTATAATGAGCCTTGGAAAAAAAGAAATAAAAAGATTAGGGTCTCTGGATATTTACCTGCTGAAATGCAACTATTTTCTAGTGTATATTTCCTTATTATAATGTAACAAAACTAAATTGCATAAATTAACTGATATTGTTCTTTGCATTTATTATAAGATAACATCTTCCTTGGAAATGTATAAAAACAATGCATTTTGATGCCTGACACAGTGTAGGCACTCAGAAAATTTATTTCCCTCTAATTTCCATTGGTTTCATTAGTATGATGATTATGGTTTTTCCTGTAATACTTTGCTTTGCTAAAATATATTTTTCAGTATTAACACAATATATATTCATGAGCTTTATTGAGGTATTCTTACATATAATAAAACAAATCAAATTGTAGTATACAACTTTATGACTTGAAAATATAAACATAAACAAAAGTAAATTTAGAACATTTCCTATATTGTAAAAATTTCCTTCATGACACTTTCAAAAAGGAGAAAAATATTCTATGATCTTTATAACCAACAGCATTCTACCTGACTTTTCTTACAATCATTTGACTATTTTAGTTATCTAATTTAGGTCATTTTAACAATAAATGCATTGACTCTCTCTCCTTCAGCGAAGAGGTCCTTTGAACAGGGTAGAGGAGAGCATGGCTGTAGAGTCACTACTCAAGACCTCCAGAGACCAAGCAGGAAGCAGGTCCGATTTTATTGGGCAGTTAGCATGTATATATACTCAGGCAGTAGCTAAACAGATTATAGGCAGCCACCAATACAATTTCTGGCCAACTGTCCTTGCAGCAACCAATCAAGGAGTGGGCCGTGGAGCAAGCACAGGGACTGCAACAAATGGCCTCATCCCCAGGGCTATTTCTACTGTATAAGCAGTTTGCCACTCACGTGCCTAGCTTAAGTGCCTAGCTTAGGTGCCTAGCTTGTGGGAGTGGTTTGCCACTCAGAAGCCCTTAAAGTATGCCATGCACTTATCCCCACAAATAAAACCCACTTGAGATTTATCCTTTTTGTTGCATTACTATGTAGTATGTAGTTATAGGTAAATAATTCAGTGTGTGTTTCCATGTACCACCTAATGCAAATGGGTTGGTTTTTGATCCATTTTCAGCTGTTATGAATAAAACTTTTATTAGTGTAAGTTTTTTAGTAAATTTGTTTCCATTTTTATTAGATAAATAATCTAGAGATGGAATATTGAGTCAAGTGATAAATGGATACTGAATGAAATTTCTTTCAAAATATATTTATTGGTGAATTATGCAAAATAGTGGGATTCATTATTACATATTATGCATAAAAATATGTCACATAATTTGGTCAGTTTTGTTCTCCAGTACTTGTTAGCTTCCTTTCATTCCTCTTTGTGGTCCTGTTATTTTTTTCTACTTGTTTCCCTTCTATGTTCATAAGATCTTCCCAGTTTTTTGCTTTGTTTTCTTTTGGCTTTTACTTTTTTGTCCCTCCACAGCTTCCACATTGAGAGAAAACATACAACCATTGATTTTCCGAGTCTGGTTTATTTCATTTAACATAATGCTCTTATTTCCATCCATTTTTCTCCAAATGACATAATTTCATTTTTCTTTGTGACTAAATAAAACTTCATTGTTTGTTTGTATGTGTGTACATGTGTATACATAGTTTGTGTGTATGTATATATATACATATGTATGTATAGATATTATTTATACATATATAAATGTATGCGTAACATTTTCCTTATCCATTCATCTATTGACAGACATCAAGATATATGTATAAGTGTATTGACAGACAGCAAAGCTGGCTCCATAATTTACCTCTTATGAAATATGCTGCTATAAACGCGAGTATGCATTTATCCCTATTATTTTTGTCAGCTTTATTGTCACTGTGCCCAAAAGATGTGATGAACAATTTTAAGAAGAAAAGTTTATTTGGGGGTTCACAATTTCAGAGGTCTCAATCTATTGATGATCAGCTTCATTGTTCTGAGCCCTAAATAAAGCAAATTCATCAAGGCAAAAGAGTGTGGTGGAGGAAAGTGGCTCAGGACATTGCAAGGAGAGAGAGAGAGAGAGAGAGAGAGAGAGAGAGCGCTCCCATCACCATAGGCAAAATATAAGCCCTCAAAATTGCTTCCCATGATGTACCTCCTCCAGCCACACTCTACCTGTCTAAAATTATCACCCAGTTATTCCCTCTAAGGGGATTAATGCACTGCTTATGTTAAGAACCTCAAAACCCAATCATTCAACCTGTTTTTTCCTGATTAAGTATGGTGTTGTCTTTGGGTTTGTCATGTGATATTGATTTAAGTTTGTTGTATCCTTATTTATTTATTTTATTGTGAATGGGTTTTATTTATTTTTTTAAAAAAATTATAATTTTTGTAGTTGGACACAATACCTTTATTTTATTTATTTATTTTTATGTGGTGGGAGGATTGAACCCAGAGCCTTGCATGTGCTAGACAAGCATTCTACCACAGAGCCACAACCCCAGCCCATGAATGGGTTTTAAACTTTGTTGAAGGCTTTGATCACATTGAGATGATTGTGCCACTTCTGTTGTTAAGTCTATTAATGTGGTGATTTACTCTTATTAATTTGCATATGTTGAACCAGCCAGTATCACTGGAATGAAACCAATCTTTTGAATATATTGTTGAGTATGATTCACTAATATTTTATGAAGGATGTTTATCAACTTTATTGGTTTGTAGTTTTTCTTTCTTGATGTGTCCTTTTCTGATTTTGGTTCCAAAGTGACACTGGCTGTGTAGAATGAGATTGGGAATGTTCTCCTCACTTTCTATTTAATGTAATGATTGGAGGAACATTGATATTACTTATTCTGTTAGAGACTGAGAGTATAGCTAAGAATTAATATGGTCCTGTGTTGGAAATATTTTTTTAATGTAAAAAACTCACTGGATTTATTCACACAAACTAGAATAGCAAGGATCAAGGATTCCTTATATGAACATTACTTGGGGATTGCAGAAAAAATTTGTACCAAACAAAGAAGGAAATTTAAAACTTAAGATTTCACAAAAATGCCTAAAAAAGATAAAAATATGAGACTTTGAATAATTTTTATTTTTAAGATTCTTATTAGATTCAAGGATAATATTTGCCCCTGCAACCAACAGATTTTCATCTCAGAAAGACTTTATTCCCAAATTCTGTTTCATAACTTGAATTCCCACATTTTTAAAATTTATTCTAACTTGTTATATGTGACAGCAGAATGCATTTCAATTCATATGACACATATATAGCACAATTTTTCATATCTCTTGTCATACACAATGTAGAGTCACACCATGCATGTCTTCATACATGTACAAAGAGTAATGATGTCCATCTCATTCCACTGCCTTTCCTACTCCCATGTTTCCTCCCTTTACCTCCCTTCCCTTTGCCCTATCTAGAGTTCTATTTCTCCCATGTGCCTCCCATTCTCATTATGAATCAGCATCCCTATATATCAGTGAAAACCTTTGGTCTTTGGTTTTAGGGGATTGGCTTAGTTCACTTAGTATGATATTCTCCAACTCCATCCATTTACCTGCAAATTTCATGATTTTATTCTCTTTTAATGTTGAGTAATATTCCATTGTGTATATATACACCACATTTTCTATATCCATTCATCTACTGAAGGGCATCTAGGTGGGTTCTACAGTTTAGCTATTATAAATTCTGCTGCTATAAATTTGATGTGGCTGCATCCTTGTAGTATGCTGATTTTAAGTCCTTTGGGTATAGACTGAGGAGTGAGATAACTGGGTCAAATGATGGTTTCATTGCCCGTTCTCTAAGGCATCTCCATAATGCTTTCCCTATTTGCTGCACCAATTTGCAGTCTCACCAGCAATCATGATTTTGCCTTTTTCCCTACATCCTCGCCAACACTTATTATTGTTTGTATTCTTAATAACTGCCATTCTGACTTGAATGAGATGAAATCTTGGAGTAGTTTTGATTTTCATTTCTTTAATTGCTAGAGTTGTTGAACATTTTTTCATATATTTGTTGATTTATTGTATACCCATCTTCTTTGAAGCATCTGTTCAGATTTGTTTAGTTCCTTGGTCCTTTATTGATTGTGTTATTTTGTGTGTGTGTGTGTGTGTGTGTGTGTCTGTGTGTTAAGATTTTTGAGTTCTGCATATATTCTAGAGATTAATGCTCTATTTGATGTGTGTGTGGTAAAAATTTGGTTCCATTCTGTAGGCTCTGTATTTGCTTTACTGATTTTTTCTTTTGCTGAGGAAAGGCTTTTTAGTTTGAATCCATCCCATTTATTGATTCCTAATTGTAATTCTTGCACTTTTTATCAACACTTCCATGTCAGTGTTTCTTACTGGTATGTGCCTAGAAATTTATCCATTTTATTTATTTTAAAAAAATTGGAGGGGAGTATAAATTCTCCATACAGTCCCTAATGATCTCCTCATTTCTGTGATTGCTGTTGTGGCATCTATTTTTCATCTCTTATTTAATTAATTTGGGTCTTTTTTTCTTTTCCTTTTTCTTTTTGTAAGTTTAGTTAAAAATTTATCAGTCTTGTTTTTCTTTAATAAACAAACTCTTCATTATGCTTAACCTTTTTTTTTTTTTTGGTTTATTCCTTCTTTTGTGTTGCTTACCAAACTGCCTGTTGAATTGGCTCTCAGGTGCTCTAATTGCTTGTAATAGGGAGTATAGAATGTAAATTTCTATTAGAGTTTTGTCCAAACAGA